TAATGCAAAACTGATAAACTTTGACAAAACAAAACAGGAGTCAGGGAGACAGGCGCTCTTCTCCCATGGACGCATGATGGAAACTGCATTTCAGGGGTGTTAGTACTTCACAGTTCGTCTCTGTGGAGGGTGAGATGTTTGGAGGGACTCGAGGTGGGTGGGAGTTGGGTGGGGGGAGAGGTGTGTAATGTTTCCATCAGTTATTTTACTGCTGTGTGTGTTACTTAAACATTTTGGGGGCAGGAGAAAGCCACGAAAAGTTACAAGAGGTTAAGAGAAAAATGTTCTCTGGGTTTCCATTGGCAGCTTTCAGCTGGCAAGCCACAATATGATGTCAAAGAACAGATTATTTATATCCTAGAATGATGGCAAATTCAGACACTAATAATTTTGTAATACGTATATGATTAAAACTTGCCCCTAAAAACTGGGATTTTGGGTGTATAGACCTTTTGAAATTTAATTTAAAAATAGATGTGGGGGTTGGGGGTTTGAGCTGGAGCCTAAACCTACTCACCGGTGAAACCTTAGCATTTTTAGTTTATAGCAAATTTGATGAGAAAGGGAGAGAAAATGCACGTATGTTTGAATTTCAGTCCAGCATGGGGAAAGGACACTTTTTACTGAACCTCTGTGTTCTGCTAAAAACATGTGTTTCTTTTTTTCTCCTTTCCTTCTCCCCTCTCCCTGAACTTTTTTTTTTTATTTCAGACAACAGGATATTGGACTTTCTGAAAAACATGATTCATTCTTAATGAAAAAGAAAGTTCTTACAGAAAGTTAGTGTTTTACTAGGTCAGCCAAGTGCTTACGTGGCTGGAACTATTCGGCCAGTGCAAATGTGAAACATTTCTTTATGTCGAAACTGTTCCTATAAGTTAATTAAGTTTTTATGTAGATCATGAAACTAAAAGTTAGAATTAGACCAGTAATATGACTTATTTCTTTTTTCTTCTGTGAGATAATTCCTAACACCATTTATTTTTTCCAACTAGAAATTTGAAGGTTATGGTGTTCAGAGTGTAATGTAAGAGGCATATGAATTTGGAGGAAGACAGAAAAAGGACACACCATAGGAAAGGGTCAGGGAGGGAGAAATTTTCCTCTCATCTGCCCTTCTTCTGGCTGGTCTAAGAATGAAGTTGCCCTGAGACAGATTAACAGGAGAAAATCAAACGAAGATTTAATAACATGTATACATGGGAAAGGCCAGGAAAACTAACTCACCAAAATGGCCAAAAACTTCACCTTAAGAACCATCTCCAATTAAGACAAAAGATGTTGAAGGTAGTGGTTTGGGATCTCAAACTGGGGGAAGGGCATTGACACAGCAATGGAAAAGCAAATGTTTGGTGAATAAATATTTGTTGGCCAGGCAGAGACACAGGGACACTGGGTGGACTCTGACCTCTAGGTACTGCCAAGTTTCCCCACCACACTCTGCCCCTCATCTTTGCAGATGTCTCTGGTGACAGCTCTTTCCTGGGGACAGACCATCTATCTAAATTCTTTTAGGCAGTTAGGGGGAATGTCCAAGCTCCTTTCTGAATTACACACCTCTCCTCATCTTGAAATAATCCACCTGCCGAAGAGATATTTTGGGAAGGCAAATTTTCTCCCCTTACAAACAAGTAGAAGAGAAGTAATGAACTGAGAAAGAGCAGTGGAGCGTGAAACAAAGAAGGGTATTAGCAGCTAGATGTAAGGAAGAACAGGAGGAGAAAAAGGGGAACTTCTAGAAAATTAATAAGTGGGACCAAGGGACTTACGGGAGAGGTCTAAGATTTTACACCTTACTCTTCTGAGAAAATTATGAGAGTCATCACATACTGAGGTTTTAAGATAGTTTTCCGTAAATGAAGAACCAGAAAGAATGAAGGTGGAGATTTTTACATGGAGCCAAAATCCAAATGTCATGGTGTACTGTCTGAAAAAAATCCAATTCTTCATTTTTTTTTCTCTGCCTAGAGTTTAAACTGAGGCTCCCTCTGATTCTGAAAACTGCATGTGAAGTAAATAAGATGTAGTGGTTAAAAGAAAGTCAGCAGAAACTTTTTAAATGTATAATATACCTTCACAAAAATTGACTCTGTTGGTGTGCATTTCCGTGAGTTTTGGCAAAAACATACAAGCATGTAGCCACTATCACAATCAAGATACAAAGTGGTTCCACCACTTCCGACTCCCACGCCTCTTTGTGAACATTTTTTCCCTCAGTCTCCACCCTTTGGCAACCACTGACCAGTTTTCTGTTTTTATTCTTTTGCTTTAGAAGATTGTCTTTAGTCTGACTTTTTTTTTTTAACTCAGTACAATGCATTTG